GGGGGGGGGGGCCCCCCAGTAGCTGATCCCGCTGGCCAGGGAGGGAGGAGGTCTCCTGGCATCCAATCACGCTGACCATAAAAGCAGCTGTGCCGCTTCTGGAACTCCCTTTCGCTGGTGGCCCTGCTCCCCGGCCGGCACTCGCAGCGGGGGCCCTGGTGCTCCCGCCTGCCCCCCTGCCCACTGGGGGTGCACTGGTGCTAATATTTTAATTTCTACCCAGAAGAACTTTTACAATCTTTTCTCCTATGCCTGAAGAAGGGTGTTTGTACCCAAAAACTTGCCATTTTTTAATTTTTAAATTTTTTTTGTTTTTTTGCAAAAATCTAGTTGGTCTAATAAAAGATATCACCTCCAGCATGAGTCCTGATCCCAGTAGGGAATGCAGAATTCTTGAAAATTTCAATAAGATTTGGGGAAAAAAAAACATTTTCCATGAATTGGACTACTTTCAGAGTAAGTATATTGGAATCAGTCCTAACATAACTACATAGTTGTTAGAATTAGTAGACCTTAGTCTTTTTTTCTTCTGTAGTTGTACATCAACAAAATTAATTTTTTGATAAAAGCTTCCCCGTGCAGCAACAATGCAGTGGAACCTAATATGTTCCTTTGAACTTCTCCCTCTTTCTTTGGTGGGCTGGTTGCCATTAACAGCTTTAAATGATTAACATTCTTGCTGTTTGTTTGCCACCATTGTGTCAGGCTGAGAGTTGACAGATTACATGGAGTTCAAAATGGCAGAGAACAGGATTTTTTTTTCCTCTTCTAAATAACTAGAAGCCAGTTTGGAGTGTGTCATGCAAGCCCTGGAAAAGGTCGCCTTTTGAATGATTCGGAAAGCAGACCTGCTTTGAATGCATCCCTTCTATTATTCGAAGTGCTTGGGCCAATAATCTTTAAGCCATCTTGAGTGCTTTGGGTGTTTTTGTTTTTTGTTGTTGGTTTTTTTTTTGAGTAGGTGGTTTTGAGACCCTAAGCCTGCAAAATACTGAGTTCTTTTAACTCTCACTGACTTTCCAGGAGCATACTGCCTTAAATGAACAGGATGTACAATAAGAGGTTTGGGTTTATAGGTAAATAGCATTTATTAAATAGTTCTGATAGGGCTGTAACATCAGCAGTCAAAGGTGAGTGATGATACAAGTTGCACTGGTATGTATGTATGTATGTATGTATATACATGTTGCTGATTGGTAGTAAAGATTAATTTTGCAATGTCAAATGGGCTGCCAGTTAAATGAAAAAAGACGATTAGACATTGCCTCAGTGAGAGCATAACACAGTACAAGGAAATTGTAGGTGGTAAATACAAAATAGGGATTTTTTTATTTCAGTGCTATAAAGTTAGTTGAGGATATTAAAACTGTGTGTGCATGATTTGTTTTTGAATGTCATAACTGTCCAAATATGCTGGGATCCAGGTTGCCATTACCTGGAGCTCTTGAGAGATTTTGATTGTGGGCTTTGCTAATAAGCCACTGCTAACTAAGATACATCAGGCTGTCTTTTCTGGACATCTGAACAGTAGTCTGGGACTGTTCAGCTGTTGATCCACTTTGTTGGTAAAACCTAGAGCAGCTTTGTGCTCTGGGTGGAAAGCAGACCTGTGGTACAGAGATTGTACTAGCAGCTGGCAATCACCAGGTTGTGGATACCTGAACCTGCCTTGTCATGACATGGTTCTCATGCTAGAATCCAGAAGGGCATGTGCAATGGAAGACACGAAAACTAGGTTTTGGCTGCTTAAATCCAACAGAGCCTTATACATACCCTAACAGACAAAAGAGTCTGACTCTGTGTGTCATGTGAAAGCTGGAATGTTTTCCACCTAGGAGCTCTGACAGGTTTGCAAATCATTTTGTTTTCCAGTGAAAGAGGGGGAATTAATTTAATAAACACACTTCCCTAAAAGCAGTCAATAATCTGAATGGTCAAAAAGCAATTAAAAAGAGCTTACAAAGGACAAATTATATTAAAAAAAAATCAATTGCTGTAATACTAAATAAGATATTGCTTTTCCTTTTCATCCTTCTCCAGTCAATGTTGTAACAGGAAAGCCTCCAAGTTTAATGATGTTCAATTTGCAACATAAGCCAACAAAAGACAGGGAATTCCAGCTGTGTCCACCGTATAAACTAGTCTCACTTTAATGGCTCAAAGAATTAAATCATGAATAGAAACACAGAGAAAGATATCATGGTCCTTCCAATATAATGACTTAGGAGTGTGGATTTCTTTCTACAATGTACCTCATTCTCCAAGGATAGGAGCTTTGCTTAGGTCAACTTTTAGGGGAAGGCTGGATTGATGCAAGGATCATAGTGTTTAAAAGCCACAGTTTTGATGATGTGAAAGTAGTTTCTCCAATACCCTTGGTTAGTGTTGGAACAGTTTTTACCCTCGCAGAAGCAGAAATCAATAAAGTTGTGATGATATTTTTTGTTAATGACAACTTGGAACTCAAGTGAATCAGTTTGCAATAGCAGGACAGCCAAGGTGAGCATCATAGACCATCTTCAACATCATTGTCATAGAATCATAGGGTGCCTATACACATGCTCCAATGCATTGTAATTGGAATGCATCAGAATCGACTCTACTGGAGCATTCTAATTAGAACGCTGCAGCATCTCGTGTATTCAGCATCCTGCATTTCAAAATGGCTGTGGGGGGCTTGTCAAATGAGCTTTAATTAAAGCTTTCCCACAGCCTTTTTTAAATGCAGGGTGCTAGATACATGAGATGCTGAGGGCCGCTCTAATTAAAACGCACTCCAGCCCACCTACAGCACATGTATAGGCACCCACAGAAAATTAGATCTGGAAAGGACCTCGGGAGGTCATCTAGTTCAGCCCCTGGCCTAAGGCAAGATCATCCCTGATTAAATTATCTCAGCTTGTTGGTTAACTAGCTCTAAAGATTGCCAAAGGTAGGGATTCCACAAATTCTCTAGTTAATCTATTCCAGTGATTAACCACACTCATGTTTAGAAAGGTCTTCCTTTAATATTCAACCTCAGTGCCCTTTGTTATAATATGATAATTGCTTCTTATTCTGTCCCCTCCAGCCACAGAGTAGTTGGTGACCGTCCTCTCTATAAGCACCATTCAGGTATTTGAAGATAGTTATTATCCCTTAGTGTAAAAAGTGCAGAGTTTCTTTGGCAGAGTCATCTGATATAGTGGTAAAAGTGATATGTCTTACCTACATTGCAGTTAGCAGCATTGTTTGCAGAGTTACATGAGTTGAAGTTCCAATTTTCCCAGTGTAAATAGTCATAGAGAATTCTCTGCTAATTTTTTCACTTATGGTATTTAGTGAAGAGAAGAATGATAGAGATTTTATTACAGTCTACAAATACATTAAGGGAACATGCCTGTCAGAAGCAACATGCAAGATGAGGGACTATTGCATCAGCTATTTTGTAGCTGGTATGCTTTAGAAAGTTAATCCCTTGTGTTCAGATCAGGTAACAACAAACTCCACTGGACATTATTCAGTTTCCTGAAACTCACAATGGCTTCTTTCAAGACTCAGAATTGTAAATTGCAAGTTTAAGACTCAGAATTGTAAATTGTAAATTGCATCTGACAGATCAGCTAAAATGGTGGTGCCAACCTGGAAAATTAATTCCTCGTTTTAATAGAAGCCTGGTACAAAAGAACCAAAACAAAACAAAAAACCAACCCTTTTCATGGCTATTTTGTTTTAAATCACTCCACTGCAGTTAATAACTCACAAAAGATGCAAAATTCTCAAGAGCAAAATTTCCTGTGTGAAAAGTGTTCTTTTGTGTAGTCTGCCACAAGCAAGCAATTGCTCTAATTTTGCTGATGCTCTCTAGAAATTCACTTCAGGAATTGTTGCTGTTTTTATTAATGCAACTTTGTTTGGCAACTGCAGTGCTACTTAATGAGAGGGGAAGATTTTTTTGTTTTGATTTTTAGAAAGTGAAGTCTGTTAGCTCCTCTGAAAAAGTGCTCTGTGGGTTTAACAACATGTTGAGATCTTTGAAATCAGTTGCAGTTTGGCATTAGATATGTTGATTAGGAAGTATTTGAAGATCTAGTCATCAGTAGTAACTAATATCTGGGTTGACGAGAAGTGAATGTACCAAGTTAGCCAGGAGTTAATGCTACTGAAAGTTATGATTATGGCACCACTGTTTACAACCAATAACATGTAGCCGTGTTGATGTGTTAAAAATGAGGTAGCCATTCCTCCTATTCCTGCCTGGAAATGTTAAGACAATTTTAAGGGGTTCTATTCAATTTTTGTATTTGTACCTGGGATCTTGCCTTGCATTCTTTACTTCAGTGAGAATACTAAATAAGGACGGAAGGGCTGGAGCTGTAATGTTGATGTGCTTTTCTTATTTTAAAAAACCTCCAAAACCAGGAAAGAGAGGGGGGAGGAGAGATTACACTAAAGTAGGTCCTAAGTTTATTTTGCATATGTTTACAAAAGATAGTATTAACTTGTACCACTGTTTTGCAGCAGGCATCTGTTTGTTTGAAGGTGGGAGAGTGCGGATAGTCTGGAGCTATCTGTGCTTTCCAGCCACCCTGGGTAGGTACCCTTGGGGCTTTTGAAGGCAATTCCCAAGGCTCTCAGGGTAGGGATCCTGAAGACAGAGGAGCACCTGCCTGGGGTTCCACGTTTGCAGAAGCTTGTCCAGAGATTCCTGGGGTTCCCTCATTTGTAGAGGTGCACTCTCACTATTATCCTACAGAATTGATCCCCTGCCACTCCCAGGAACATCAGGGACCTGACCATGCTGTGCAATAGATGATGTCTTTTTTGGTCATTGAAGTAGATTAGATATGCTGGAACATTTGGCAACATCCGTTTACAGTCTTTGGGTGCTTGTACATGCCACAACATTTAATCCTCATTAATTTAATGAGCTTTAAAAATTTTAAACTGGTTTATTTTGGTACATCAGGTTTGTGTTTGCATGCAGCGGGCTTTCAAACGAATTAAGTCCCATGGGCAATTCCCCACAAATTCCAGCAGGGGGAGTCAAATACCAATCTGCCCTCAGTAATGTCTTTCTTAATGAATTACAACAGTCGGTGCATGTTTGCTTGCCAGTAAACCAGCCTCCACAGTCCCCGTTCCTTGCAGGGACCCTCATGCTAAGCCCCCCGATCCCATGCCAGGCCACAGTCACACCAAAACCCTGTCACTTGCACCCCCTAGGCTCTGTCTCATCTCCAGTAGGTGACCCTGTGGTGATCCTGCTGCCAAGCCATGTGCATCATCCCCTCCCCTCCCTTACCCCTCCATGTTAAAAAGTATTGAAAATGTATATATGATTTTTTTTTTTTTTTTTTTTTAAACTCTATATATCATATCAGAAATATACGGGAGTGAGAGTAGCGGGTGTCGCCCCGGGCGGCTGATGGTGGTGGCGGTATGGTGGGGGGGTGCCAAATCCAACAGCTAATAGTTTTCTGGGTTTTAGTACTACATTTCCCAGCATTCCCAAGCTGCCTGGGTTTGGAAAAGTTTCCATGGGATCTCCTCAAAGAGGCTGCTTCTCCCATTCCCTTTCCCTGCCCATGTGACATCGTGAATATCTGCCGCCTTGTGTTTAGCACAGCATATGGCTTTGTGAGATGTTGGGGTGTCGTTGGGGTTGGGGTGGAATATTGACTTCACTCCCCTTCCCGCCCTGCCAATCTTTCTGCATATAATGGTGCAGTAAGCGTAGACCATTTCTTTACTCCAGAAAGCATTCTTTGCAGTTTCATATGAATTTGAATGCACAATAGACATTGCAACATCCTAGGCAAGCAAACCCCATTTCCCCCCCACCACTGCCTACCCGCACACACGTGAACTAACTCCTACAGACTGTGCATACCACTCACTCCCTATTTTTCCCCCCCCAGCCAACAAGAGGTGTAATTAACCTTCTCACAGGACATGACTGAGGCTGGCTAGACGGTGGTGTGTAATGAGCCCCCCCCCATTCAGACCAATGCCAGCCTCCAAACAATAACCCCCTACCCCACTCCACCTCCCACCATGCTCTGCTCATCCTCCACCTCCTGTCCAACACCTACCCATGCAAAAACCTCTGCGGACAGATACAGATGTTTATGTTGTAAATAGTAAAAGA